ATGCGGAAATCATAGCCATCTCAAGTATGAATATAGGAGGAGGGTTGCAATAGGTTGACACTGACTTTAATTCAGCATAATGGATACAATTGATTAATATAGCCGATGTTAACTAACTTGATATTGAGGCATACAGTTGATTGAACGACTAATGAAACTTGACATTGAGCTTAGTTTATATTCTCTGACAACATATGACCTAATCGAGTTAGAGGCTTTGTTGCTACCATGGCTAAATTTAACCTTTCTTTTTGTATGTAGCTGTCTCCATGCAAGAGGATAGGGAAGTTGGCATTTGTGGGTTCTGATGTTTTAACTTCAATACCACACAGGGAGGGGGGGTGATTTGTGTGGTGTCTAATTTTTCGCTTAATCTGATTATAGAAGGACCTGGTTCTTCTAAGTATTCCTTAGCCTACTATTGCTGAAATAATAAATGCGGAAAGTAAAGAACACAAGTATTTTACGTGGAAAACACCTGACTCAAAAGGTGAAAAAATCACGACCTACTTTCCAATAGGATTTCCCCAAACTCTCCACTAAATCACTGAGCCAAAAACTATATTTACAAAACATTTTTGTAAACCTAGGATTAACTCTACTCCCGTTGTGGCAACCAGCCTCTAACTGCTGCGACAACTTCAAGTTAACTCTAACATGAATACTCTGAGTACCTATTACAATTGCCTCTAGATAAAGCTGAAAGGTACACTATGAAAAGACCTACTACAATCGTGCTAGAATAAAAGACAGTCACTTGGAACTGGTTCTTCTATCTGGTTCAGGTAGCTTCAGGTTCGCACACTTGAATCACACACGAACTGCTTGCAAAATGCCTTGCTATTTTGCTCTCAATTCACATTTAACTTCTGCTTTTGTGCGTTACCTGTAGAATGAGAACATCCTGCGATTTATAGAGTTAGTAGAGTAGAAAATAACTAGAGTTATAATGCTACTCATCCTTGGTGGAAGAGTTCTAGTTGATCTCAACCTCTAACTCCTCTCTTATCTTGGATAGTGTTCTCTTTGATTAAGGAGTCCTCCTTATCAATTATGCAACCCTTTTCGATCAGGAGATATTAATTAGACCAAGTCAAGCTTATCTCCTTCATGTGCATCCCACATGCTCGAATCTGCCCGTGTCTATGCACACAAGGGATGGACTTGGTTCATGCATGAGTTTCCTTTGTCAATCTTCAAAACTAACCTTCACTTAGGCCAACAGGTTCAATCCCCAAGAATCCTTCAGGCAAGACACTTGGGAAGTATCTAATAAAGCTTGCAATGTCCAAACTTTAAATTTGAGATCTAGTGCATCGTTAAGCGGTTTGAGGCCTTGAGTAGCTTATCTTCATGTATTATGACTTGTACGTGTAGTCGGAATTGAATTTTGAGAAGTTCGGAGTTGACTTGGAAAAAAAATTCTAATTTCGGAAGCTTTAAGTTGGAAACATTGACTAAGGTTTGGCTTTTGAGTAAATGACCTCGGAATCAGGATTTGGAGGTTCAAATAGGTTCATACGATGATTTCGGACTTGGGCGTATGTTCGGGTTGAGTATCGGATCACCCGAAAGCATTTCGGCGCCTATTATGGAAGGTTGTCATTTTAAAGGTTTAAGAATTTTATAAGTTTGGTTTGAAGTGAATTTTGATGCTATCGATGTCTGTTTGGGGTTCCGAGCCTTGAAATAGCTTCGTTATGTCAATTATGACTTGTGTGCAAAGTTTGAGGTCAATCGGACTTGATTTGATAGGTTTTGGCGCCGAACGTAGAAGTTTGAAGTTCTAAAGTTCATTAAGCTTGAATTGGGGTGCGATTCATGATTTTAGCGTTGTTTGATGTGATTTGAAGGCTCGACTAAGTTCGTATTGTATTTTGGGATGTGTTGGTATATTTGGTTAAGGTATCGAGGGCCTCAGGTGAATTTTAGATGGTTAACGGATTTATTTTTGGACTTAAGAAATGCTGAAGCTGGGCAGCAGCTGGTATGATCGCTTTTACGATGTCTTGGTCGCAAAAGCGAGGTCGAGCTCGTAGAAGGGAAATGGGAAAGGACAAGGCAGTGGTTGCAGGTGCGAAGATAGTCCCGCACCTACGGAATTGCATAAGCGAGGCAGTGGACCGCAGAAGCAGCTTGAAGTGAGTTGGGAAGAGGCCGCAGGTGCGAAGGAATTCCCGTACCTACGTGACTGCATAAGCGGCCCAGTGGTCGCAAAAGCGGAAGGGAGTGAGGCAGGCTGGAGGAGTAGGTGCGAGGCTTGTGCTGCACATGCGAGACCGCAGAAGCGGATTCATGGTCGCAGGTGCGACTCCGCAGATGCAAAGGTAGGGGGCTGAAGGGGGACCGCAAAAGCGGTATTTGTGACCGCACCTGCGGAACTGCAGAAGCGGTCAAGTGGCCGCAGGTGCGAGAGGTCGCTGGACAGTGTGTTCTTTTAAGAACGGGGCTTGGCCCATTTTCTCTCATTTTCATTTGGTTGGGGCAATTTTGGAGAGTTTCAAAGGGAGGTTTTCATCAAGCAACACAAGGTAAGTGATTCTCACCTATTACAAGTTAAATATATGATTTATATGTGGATTAGAACATGAGAATTAGTAGAAATTTGGGATTCTGGTAGAAAATCTAGAATTGGGTACTTTTGGATTTTGACCACGAAATTGGACATGAAATTGAGAATAAATTATATTTTTGAGTTCGTGGTGTTATGTGTAAGGTTTATCATAAAATATTTTCAGAATCCGGGCACGTGAGCCCGAAGGTTGACTTTGTCGACTTTTCAAGCGGAGTTGGAGATTGTTTAAATTGATTAATTATGGGTATTAGAATATATTTTGATTGGTTTGCACGTTGTTTGAATAGTTTTGGATCGACATGCATTGGTTTGAGGTGTTAGAGAGGCTTTGGAGCCGGTTATGGAACTTCGGAGCGAGGTAAGTCTCTTGTCTAACTCTGTGAGGGGGAAACTACCCCTAAGTGATGCATTTGTTATGTGCTACTTGTTGTGGGGGCTAAGTACGCATAAGGTGACGAGAGTCCGTACGTAGCTAGATTCATGTTATGTCCGGGTAGACTTAGGTTGCCGCCATGCTATAACTGTACTATTTGAGTTGTCTCTTGCCTATTAAATTCCTTTATTTTACATTACGACTTGAGACTAGACTTGCGTAGAGAGATAGACTTGCTATTGTAGAGATTTGACAGGCTTCATGATAAGCCACAGATTAATTGTACTCTCCTTACGAAATTCTCCCGCGTTATGCGTTCTCATCGAAAAGTTCCCTTAAAACCTATAACTCACACGACTATTAGTGAGTGGGGTCGAGGACCCGTCAAAGCTTCTTATTCTAATGGGATCGGGCCGTTCTCCTTGGCAGGATAGATACATCTATGGTTCATGTCGTTCGACCCTCGACAGTGTGCACATTATGATGGATCAGGCAGTACGCCTCGGCAGGATTTTGTACCACACTCTCATGAGAGCGGGCCGTTCACCTCGGCAATATAATAGATGTATCTATGGTTCGAAAATATCATGATGGATCGGGTCGTACGTCTCGACATTTCTATAAAATACTCTTATGAAATCATGCGTAATAATTGATAAGAAGGCAGTTTATCTGCGAGTTATCCTGATTTGAACTGTGGCGACCTATCCGGTGAGGTCCATTATATATACTCCGATTGAGGAGGTAACTACTAGCTGAGGGTTTGAGTTATTGCTGAGAGGAGAATTTTACCACGTATTTATACTTGTTATTTCGTCTATTCCTCTGACTCACATCTGTTTACTTCTACTGTATCTGCCTTATTGGACCACTAGTAAGTGTTAATGTCGACCCCTCGTCACTACTTCTCTGGGGTTAGGCTATATACTTACTGGGTACGCATTGATTTACGTACTCATGCTACACTTTCTGCACTTATTGTGCAGGTACATATATGTCTGGTGGTCTTTTGGGCGCAGAGGCACGGCTATTGCGAGGACTTTACCGTGAGCTGCATTTCATGTTACGATCCGCAGCCTGCAGAGTCTCCATCAGAGTTATTTATATTTCTTCTGTCTAATTTGTATTCCGAACAAATGTTGTATTTTATTATATTTCCTAATTGATGCTCATGCACTTGTGACACCGTAGCTCGTGTAAATATTATCATTCACTCTGTAAATTCTATTTCACACTATCTAATTAATAAAAAATATGATTTTAAAGTACTAGAGTGAGTAATTAAATTGATCAATCACTGTTGGCTTGTCTGACGGCGGTGTTAAGTGCCATCACGAACTATAGTGAATTTTGGACCGTGATAGCTCTGCAGACAACATATAAATGGAACAGCAGTATCTTAACAGTATCCAACTGCAGGTGAAAGACGTTTAACTAGTCAAAGGTACCAGATATGTTGCATCAATCTTTATTTACCACAGAATTAATAGCCTAAGGGAGCTGCGAAAACATTATCCAATGAATTATGGGAGTACTGCAATTTCATTAGCATCTTGACTTCGCTGGCAAGGATGAGGAGACAAATTAGAACATACACATACACATACACATAGAAAGAGGTTGCAATAGAGAGTGTTTTTTCATTTCCCCAGTAGGATATTTTTTCCCTCAACAAAAGGAATTTAGTCAATCCATTCATTCTCACAAAGGAACTTGCAGAATGCCACTCATAGTCGAACGATGCTCCTCTTCCACCATCTCAATTAGAACTTATAAATTAGCAGATTTAGAAAGTAAAGGCACAACAAACATTTTGCATTCCTTTGTGCAGACTGAAAAGTGTAGCTTTGCTTCTCCTTAAAAGCAGTTATTCGTTCGTTTAAATCAAGAAGATAGTCAAGTAAACTATCTTCCAGACAAAAGATAATAACGGATAGTCAAGTAAAGAATGTTCAATTCAAGACAAAAGATAATAACTACACCAACTACAAAGCAAACTCATAACCAGAGCCAAATAACAATAGACAAACTATGGCTAGCACTATTACAAGATCTAAGAACACAAGCAAACAGGCTTTGATGGGAAAAAATACCTTAAAAAACAAATATCCTCGTATATATAGCAAGAGTCCAAAAAACGATCAAGCACCATATTAATTTGAATACCAAATTTCTTGCATCTGATCAATTAGATGCATTCCCTAAAATTGGTGACTGAATAGAGTTAGATATAAATAAAAGGTACAGGGAAATTTGACAACAGAGGATAAACCTACAAGAAGAAATTTCAATGGGCCTCAACGCCTAACGTATAGGACAGGAGAACCATCATGAAGTGAAACTACCCCAACATCTTTACCATTTAGTCAGCTCGTCTCTTCTTCCCTTCCATATCATGTTTAAATTTTTTTTTTTTAAAAAAAGGACCAAATTAATGATCAAGATTTTTAGTAATTTACATGAAAAAAGACTTGTTCGCTTGTAGTAGAATAACACTACCTTCCTACGTCTCTACATCGACAATGGAAGAAGCATCCTTCGCTTCTTTTTGTGGGCCGACCTAACTTGCTTTGTGATTTTCATGCATAAAAGCAATAGCAAGGTGACACATACTAAGATGAAAGCAAGCTTTAGATGCCTGAAGTACAATGAAACAGCAGAGAAAACCAGAAATGCTAAAATAACCAGTTCCCATATCACAAAGATGACGACATCCACCCTGCATCAACAGAATAGGAAAATGAAATAAGATGGACAGAAGGCACAAGACAAGGCAATTTGAAAATTACTGCCAGAAGTGAAAATATGAAAAGAGAAAAGAACTCTAGAGGTAAGATGAACAAAACTGCTTCTCATGCAATGAATTTATACATTCAACAAATATAATGTTATGTTGTAAAAGATAATACTTATACATCACAACTGTTAAGGAAATCAAACATTAGTCCTAAGGTGAACTGGCAGGCACTGTACTAGTTCATCAGTAGCAAAAGGTGTCAGTTCACAACTTCAAAGTAGCTCTAGGAACAAGCAGCAAGGATCCAATTCATTCATGTCTTTATCTAGCTCATTGTGCGCGAGTGACAACAATATCGTAAAGGAGCTCTATTTCAAACAGTTTTACCAGTCCAGCATTTGTAGCCTCCATATGGGCTAGTGATTTTACTTGTCTTTCAAGAAATCTGTCAAAAAGAAAAAACCCAGTCTTGGAATCCTAAGCTTTTCCCCTCGTCCAAAGGATCAAACTAAAAGCTTGGGGGAAGATCAAGTCCTATATGAATGTGAGATGTTTCTATCTTCTTCCGCTTAAGAATGGATTCCTTGAGGATTTTTTCTGATAAATATTATTATGCGAGTTCAATCACGGTTTTTTTCTATCATAATAATCTCCTCTCGTGTACGAAGAAGAGTTTCAGACCTCTTGGAAGGGAAAACCCTATTAAGATCCAATACAAGCTTCCTTTGGAAAGATGATTGGCATCTAATAGAGTATACCAATTTTAGAGAAGTCCTAATTTATCTAAATTATGTAGTAGAATAGAAAAGAACCAAATAGAGAAAATTGGAAAACAGAAATTCATACAGCAGCCCAATTAGTTGAGAACAAAGCGTATTAGTAGTTTTTGTTGTCATTGTTGGGTGGAAGTCAATACAAATCAACATGAGGGGAACTTAGACCGATAGAATGCATATTAAAATATTTAGCACTGAGGGACATGCATGATTGGGAAATAAACGAGCTGCTAGACCTTTATGCAAGACTACAACAAAGCAATGTTAACTCCCAAGCTGTGGATAGACTTAAATGGGGGAATCATGGTGGAGGCATCTACACAGTCAAGGTGGGATATCAACAGATTGTTCTAGTAATCCCATGATAGATAACTGGCCCTGGAAACTTATTTGGAGAACCAAGCTGCCACCAAAGGTTATCTGTTACACCTGGACAACATTATATGAGGCATGCCTCACACAAGATAACCTGATGAAAAGGAACTTCCAGTTACCTAACAGATGTTACATGTGTCAAAAGAAAGCTGAAAGTACCTGCCACTTGCTCCTACACTGTGAGATGGCTTCAAACATATGGTACATGTTTTTTTGCCTTTTTGGTCTCAAATGGGTCACCCCTTACACAGTCAAGGACGCTTATAAAAGCTGGAGTTTATGGAGAGTTGATAAAGCCATCAGGAAAATCTGGTCAATGGTCCCTGCTTGTATTTTCTGGTGCATTTGGACAGAGAGAAACAAGAGATGTTTTGATGGAAACTCAACTCCTATAGATTCTTTAAAGGCTCTTTGTATTGCCAATTTGTTTTGTTGGTCTAGACTTATTGATCATTTTTTGGATTTCATTAGTTCCTTAGCTCTGGCTTAGCCAATTATGTATAGGAGCCGGAATATTTTTTGTAAGCTAAAATGCCAAATCGTGTACTTCTTGCATCTTCTTGATGCCATATATTGAAATCACTTACTTTATAAAAAAAAATAAAAATTGAGCACTAGCTTTCTAGATGTAGATGCTTTATTCCTTATAGATGCGTCAATGGTCAATGCTTGGGTAAGAGTAGTATTAGGATGTGATCCCCTGGGAAGTCCTCGTGTTACATCTCCAGTATTATAATTTTAAAAAGGCAGAATAGCCTATTAAACACTTGTACTTATTTTGATTTGTCATCCTGGTCCTTATACGCTAGTGGGTTGCTCTAGTGGTAAGCACCCTCCACTTTCAACCAAGAGGTTGTGAGTTCGAGTCACCCCAAGAGCAAGGTGGGGAGTTCTTGGAGGGAGAGAGCCGAGGGTCTATCGGAAACAACCTCTCTATCCCAGAGTAGGGGTAAGGTCTGCGTACATACTACCCTCCCCGACCCCACTAGTGGGATTATACTGGGTTGTTGTTGTTCCTTATACGCTACAAAGTTTCATCTAGTCACTTTTAATTTTTCAAAACCTATATTTTAAACCCTTCTAACCGTTGACCAAGCTTATATGACATTTATTTTGCTGAGTCAAATAATTCGTGATTACACACTCTTAAAAGCGCGTGCATCAATTATTTTGATTAAAGAAGTTATTAAAAAATCATTTAAAAAAACGAAACAATAAAAATAAACAGAAAAGCAATTTAAAAAATCCCAAAGCACCAACCCCTTCCCTAACCCTTTCCGTCATAACCCCTTCTGCAACCNATGCCTCAAAGTTGCAAACTTATATGTATATTTTCTTTGTAAAAGAGGTAGTACAATAAGAAAAAATCATGTTTATATAATTTTGAGAGTACTATGGTGCCAAGATAGCTAAATCCATCAATTTTAAAGGTAATAACTTGGAGGAAAATATAAAGGAAGTACTAATTATCCGAATTAAAGTTTAGAATTTATACATGCCCTAATAGTTTCGGATTTCGGATCGGATCGGATCGTATTAAAATTATACCAATCCGAATTAGATCGGAAATCCGATCCAACCGAAATCCGAAATTGAACGGATCGGTTCGGATTTCGGATATCCGATCCAAATGAACAGCCCTACATCTTCGTATCTTCTTTCTTCCCCATTCATCCCTTCAAAACCCTTCATTTTGTCCCTTCTTTACTAAGCTTTGATATTAAACAAAATTATTAAGATCAAAATACTTCACTAATTCACTTTTAAATCCCCTACTGGCCTCCTCCTCTTCCTCATCCTCCATTTTTAACTGTCGTCCACCACCATCAAAATTGAGGTTCTTCATCGGCCGTCGTGAAATATTTTTCGGCCAACATCAATGAGTTTTTGAAGGATAATATGAAGTTTTTTATTATTTTGGTAGGTTTTATGGGGTTTTGGGTGAGAATGAAGACAAGAAAGAGATAGAAAAAATTTAGATCTGTTTTATCTTTATTTGACAGATGTTCTCTGGTTAAAATATAATCTCAAATCTATTTAGAGAGAGGTTTTAAAAAATAGGATAGATGAATAGATAGTGGAATAGAAAAGGAACAGAGTTTCATGGTGGCTGGAGAAATTTTACGACGATAACAGTGCGGAATATGGTGGGCAGTAAGAAGAAAGTGATGATTGGGAAGGAAAAAAAAATAAATGAAAAGTCAAATAAGAAAAATGGTAAGTCAAGGTTATTTTACGTTTTCTGTAAAAATAAAAAATGATGTGGCATATTTTTATCTGATGTGGATTCTGACATAGCGCGATTGAGAGACACACACTGTTAGAAGGGTTTTAAACACTCATTTTGATAAATTAAAAGTGTCTACATGAAACTTTGTGGAGTAAAGGGACCGGGATGACAAACCGAAATAAGTACAAGTGTCTAATAGGCTATTCTGCCTTTAAAAAACAAAAAAAGAGATGCTTCAAAGTCCAAGAGAGCAACTACTCGTCCTCACTTCATATACAACCTCAATAGGAATAGCAATAGAATTACTAGGTGGATGTGCAATTGGGAAGCAAAACATCTTGTCGTTCGAAACATGGTTACAATACCTGCTAAGGGGGAGCATAACAGGGATGTAGACGTGTTTACATGGATACAACTGGGACTCAGTAATCACTGTGGGGAGAGAAAAATCCCAAAATATTCTCTTATGTTTAAGCTTTGAACCAAAATTATCCATGTTCTATTATATGGAGCACTAATAGTCCTTATAGTATGCATAACTAGTGCAGTTTTAGTCCAACTACAATGGGCAGCTTTAGAAACGGTACTGTGCTCATCTACAAGTAAAGTGCTTAAGAAGTTTTAGAAACTCCTTTTTATCCTTCTCAAAGTTGGTTACTTTGTGCCTTTAAACTGTACTTATTTGGTTGCTAGAATACAGAAATGTCATACTCTGCATATGTTATTGTGGCTATTCTAGGGTGCTGAAAGTTGACATATTGAGAATATTGAGGATGAAAAGTGGAAGACACATAGCACATAGTTTGTTTCAACTCTTGGAGAACAAAGGTGATATGATCATGTAGAGATGAATGGACAATTTCTTTAGACAGTACATCTTCCCATAGTGCTGATATGTCTACCATATGGGATCTCACCTTGCTTGCCCTTTAGCTATGCAACAATTAATTGGTATAGAATCTCTACTAGGTACACTGGTGTAGTAAAGAAGGAAAATGGGTAGTTAAGAACTTAACCTACATTCCAAATTACATCGGGATTTCATAATTAGCATTCAATGACATAACATGTTTAAAGTGAACAATTCAACTCAATGACCAATTTGCTGACAGATTGTACACATAGGCATTTCCAAATCAATATAATCCATCTCATTCAAAAGCTGCAATTCTTAGCCATAAAGATATTACTCCTCCATTCCAATTTGTTTGGCACAATTTCCTAATTAGACCTTCCAAAAAGAATGGCATGTTTCTATATTTGGCAACAATTAACTTTAAACTTAACTTCCCATTTAATCCTAAATGAGAAGCTTTTATAGACGCACAAACACTATAGCATGTTTACGCCCACAAGTTCTAAAGGTCTACATTTCTTTCTGATGCTTCATGCCAAGTCAAACAATACCTTCATGAGAACATTGACACGCAAAATCTTCACTTTACCAATATAAAAATTTAATCTTTCTGGATTATAAGCCCAATTTGGTTCAATTACAAGAATAAAGGCCAAATGACAACAACAACAATAGGACACCTCAATCTCAAACTAGTTAGAGCCGGTTATATGAATTCTCTATATCCGTTTTGCACTTTCAAGTTCATTTCATTCCAACACTCAACAATTAAACTTCTAACAGGGATTAGGTTCTCTATATATACAAATCTCTAGACAAACTAAAAATTCCTTTAGAAAAATTCAAAGTGATAAAAGTTTCTAAATCAAATAGCCACGAGCATCTCATCATTCAGACTGAAAAATGATAATCTAAAGAGACAGGTCAATCCAACAAAAGTGGGACATTATGTGAAAGCGATAAACCCTAAACTGGAACTGAATAAAAAACAAAAAAGGATGTGATGCAATACCTAGAAGAAGAAGTGAGATTAGAGGAGGTGGAGGAGAAGAAAGAGACGGAAGCCCAATCATGTTTGGATCGAATCTGATACTCTCTCAGCTGTTCCGCCAAATTCGATCTCGTAATCATCCTCTCTCCCTCACCCTTCTCCCTTTTTCTCTATTTCTCTTTCTCAATCTATCAAATATAATTGAGTTTCTGATTGTGTTTCTGTACGTCAAATATGCTCCGATCAATTTGACGGAATTTTTGAAGAGCTGACCGCGTCGGCGACCAGTCCACCGCCGACGACCGAGAGGAAATTGAATTTGCTTACAGAGAAAGGAGGAAGAAAGGATGAAAGAGCAGTAAAGTTAGTTGAGGTTGTTCCGAAGGAAAATGGCAAAAATGGTACCTTATGTTCTGGAGTAGGTTTAATATAGTCCCTTAAATATACTCCTAAGCGATTTTGATCCCTTACATTTACGAAACGTGAGCACTTTTAGTATCCTACAATTATTTAACAAAAATTACGAAAAACAGATAAACCATAACCATTAGGAAAGTAACTTCAAATCCCTAAAACTGCACCAGAATGTATAAATAGATTAAAAAATAATAGAAATAGCACCTCAAAAAACTGCACCAAATACTAGAAATAGATCAAATATAACAGAAATTGCAAAGGCTGCATCTCTGAATAAGAGTATCTGTTAAATCATTCTTTTTCTCATAGTTCTCGTTAAAATGAACAATAAGAGTTTGTTAAATACTTGACGAATACTAAAAATGCTCATATCTTGGCAAACTTAAAGGATTAAAATTGTACAAGGTAATTTAAGAGACTATTTTAAACTTTTCTCCAAACATAAGCGACCATTTTTGTTATTTTCCCTTATTCTGATTTCGGCAAAGGTCCAAATATATTCTTGTACTTTCGAAAATGGTCTAACAATATCCCTCGTTATATTATTGGGTTATCTATACCCTTGCAGTCATACTTTGAGTTCAAATATACCCATCATTTAAACGAAGGGACACGTGTCATCGTCTTGTTGGCCAATTCTAAATATCTCTTAATTAATTAAAAAGATTCATTATTTGGCACCCGAAAAGTAATTTTCTAAAGCAATTTTTTTTTTGTAAAAACTGAACTTTTTTTAACTAAAAACTGAAAAAAACGAAAATATTTTTTTTCCCATTTTTTTTACAAAAAAACTGCTTTAAAAAAAACTAAAAAATATTTTCTAAAACAATGTTTTTGTAAAAAATGAATTAAAAAAAAGTGAAAAGCAATTTTCTAAAGCAATTAAAAACTGAAAAAAATTGAATATTTTTTACTAAAAACTGAAAAAATCGAACAATATTTTTTTCCAGTTTTTAGAAAAGTATTGCTTTAAAAAAAACTAAAAAATAATTTCTAAACAATTATTTTTGTAAAAACTAAAAAAAAATTGAAAAGCAATTTTCTAAAGCAATATTTTTGTAAAAAATGAAAAAACAAATATTCTCTTTTCTTTTCAGTTTTTAGTTAAAAATATTCTGTTATTTTCAGTTTTTAATTGCTTTAGAAAATTGCTTTTCAGTTTTGTTTTTCCAGTTTTTACAAAAATATTGTTTTAAAAAATAGTTTTCAATTTTTTTTAAGTAGTGTTTTTTGTAAAAACTGGGGAAAAAATATTTTCGTTTTTTCAGTTTTTAGTAAAAAAATAAATTCAATTTTTTCCAATTTTTACAAAAAAAATTTGTTTTAGAAAATTATTTTTCGGGTACCAAATAATGAGTCTTTTTAATTAATTAGGAGATATTTAGAATTGGCCAACAAGACGATGACACGTGTCCCTCCGTTTAAATGAGGGGTATATTTGAACCCAAAGTATGACTGCGGGGTATAGATAACCCAATAGTATAACGAGGGATATTCTTAGATCATTTTCGAAAGTACATGGGTATATTTGGACCTTTGTCGTTCTGATTTTCCAACTTGTAGTAAGAATCCAAGTACTGCAAAATCTCTCCTTTTATTTTCTTTTTATATATACTAGTTTTAGTGTACGTGTGTTGCACGTGTACATCACGTCAATTAATATAAAGCGTGTAAGAAGAATAAATTATTAAAAATTTGCAATTGATGTTATACTAAATGTGATATTTGTTCAAATGATCAAAATGAATGTTATTACATTTATACAATACTTGAATTCAATATAAGATGATATTTGGTTGAATTATTTATATGGTATTTGGAGTTTAGAGATTTTATTATCATTATTATATAAGATATAAAAAATATGTTAGGTTGTTATATCTCACTCAACGTCTCTTTTATTAATATTATATTAATAATAACATAGTACAAGAAAATAATAAAATAGTTACTCCTATTACTTAATTAATTGTCAGTTTGGGACAAACTTTTATTAACGCAATTAAGAGCACAGTCTTTGAGTTGGTATAAATGAAGTATAAAAACTTTATGCTAATCATCGTATAAGGAATAAATCAATTTTCAAATTTTCTAGACAATACAAAAATAAAATATAATTTAATTTATCAAGATTCTAAAATTAATATTTCAATTAGAAAAATTAGGTTAAGCTATTTTTATAACAAAAGATATTAAAAGTTTAAAAATGTGTTCTGCTCTATTCTTTTTTTCTTTTCTTGGGTTGAGTCTAACATTAATTTTTTTTTAAAATTTAAAGGTCTTCATTTCGCTAAGGGTCTTCATGCTTTTAATATGGTATAGATATAGATACACTACTAGAAATTCGGCAAAAACCGACCAAGATCGACCGACCAACTTTGGTCGGTAAAAAAACCGACCAAAAAACCGACCAAAGTTGGTCGGTTTTTCAAAATATTTTTTTTTTTTTTTACGAAACCGACCAACTTTGGTCGGTTTTCTTTGCCGCAAAAATGCGGGAAACTATTTTTGAGTCCCGCGAATTTTATGTTTCAAGAAACCGACCAACTTTGGTCGGTTTTTCAATTAATATAAATAAAAATTAATATTAAAAAAACCGACCACAATTGATCGGTTAATTCGGCGGGTCATTTAAAAAAACCGACCAACTTTGGTCGGTAATTTTACTTTTTAATAAAACCGACCAACTTTGGTCGGTTATTTTCGTGCGAAAATACAATTAAAGAGTATAAATCAAATAAAAAACAGTCTTAAAACAAAATGTACCAATGATCTAGTGGTAGAATAGTATCCTGCCACAGTACAGACCCCGGTTCGATTCCCAGATGGTGAATCTTTTTTTTACATAATTAAAATACCGACCAACTTTGGTCGGAAAAAACCGACCAACTTTGGTCGGTTTTTTTTGCAATATTTTTTTTTTTAATTTAATTGACCGACCAAAGTTGGTCGGTAATTTCCGACCAACTTTGGTCGGTATTCCTTTCCGACCACAAAAATACCGTCCACACGTAAATGGTCGCGTTTTGGTCGGTTTTTGGCCATTACCGACCAACGTTGGTCGGTTTTTTTGGTCGGTTTTTACCGGATTTCTAGTAGTGTTAGATAGATATGTTTCCTTAGGATACACGCAACATCTTTTAAAATTGATACTTATTGTATATAAATATCAATTACCAACGGGCCTATGGAGCACTAATAGTACATTTACTTTAACAAAGTGGTGCACTTTTAGTCATAACACTGAAAAAGCCCCAAAACATACATTATCTTTGGCTTATGACTTTGATTCTAAAGCTAAAGATGATGTATTGTTTTGGTCTTTTCCTCTAAAAACTCCTAAATATATCTTAACGTAGATATATTTCAATATAAGGCATTCTATTAACAAAACTTCTAATTACCAACAGGCCTACGTAAGTATTGTTATCCTTTAATGGTCATGCCATTCAATTGGTTTATATATGTAAGGTAACTTGCATAAAAGTTGAGATATTTATGTTAGTAATCGATTTTATGTATTGATTCTATGTTTGTGTTTAATTGAAATAGTAAATCTGAATAGATTTTACAGTTTTAAATGTTAAGATTTTGTACTTAGTTCAAATAAGGAAAGGTTTGGTAAACAAAACTTAGTAGATTTTAAACACTAAAAATTAGGAAAATAATTAAATGACTATTTTGTCATGTGTGAACCCTATTTTGAAAGGGTAAAAAATGCGAACGATATTTCGCTAAGGGCCTTCGTGCTTTTAATATAGTATATGGACTAAAAAAGATTACTTGGCACCTTCTTAAGAACAGCTTTCGTATTTATCTTTTTTTCATAATTTTGCATTTTTTCTTCTTAAAAAGATGAACAAAAGGTGTTTTAGTTATCAAAATCCAATAGGCACCTTTTAAGAATCGTCTTTAATACTTCGGCTACATCAATGTGATATTAAAAAAGAACCGCTCCTTTCCTTCCTCAACCACTAATTATCATTGTTTTTAAACCGCTCCTTACCTTCCTCGACAGTAAATACTGTTTTGAGTATGTGAATGTGCAGTTAAATGTAACCACTACATGAACAAAGGCATTAAAAGGAGAGAATAATGGGTTTTCAAATATTCCATGCACCAAAAATAACGCTTTTAATATCTGATAACATCTGCTTGCATCTTAAATGTCTAACCTATGGTGGAATATAATATACAACTGCTACAATGTTGAAGGATGAATAATATGGTGGCACCAGATACTGAAATGTTGAATTGGGCTCAATATGACAGAGTGGTTAGGCCTTTTGAAATGTTGAGTTGCAAAATGGAAAATGAATAGAGATGCATAAAAAAAGTAGAACCTATGGTGAAGATGTGCATATATCAACGTGGATGATCAGAACCAAGCGACTACAACTGTTATTTCTTGGCATGGCAAAGCCTCCAACAACTGACACAGAGAGGTATAGGGAGAAGACGACGAAATGTTAATTGGCATTCTATGGAATAAGCAGCAGAGGTAAAAGGAAAATCACGCTTCCATACATGGCTAAGCTCTATGGAAATGGGGTTCTCAAGTAACTGCTCTTAAAGAAGACTTTAGTTTCCAAAAAGACATGAAGGAATGATTGTTATCTATAGAGGGAGGGTTATTCATGGTGGACAAAGTCATTTCCTAAGTAATGAGTATTGAATTTTGTATACGGTCAAAACTGAGTTTGCGTTTCGTGTGATTAATCAAGATTGGAGTATGATGGATCGATGTTCGTCATCATAATATCGAGCTCGAGACCCAGAGGCCGATCAATATCGAGCTCGAGACCCAGAGGCCGATCAATATCGAGCTCGAGACCCAGTGACCGATCAATATCGAGCTCGAGACCCAGTGACCGATCAATATCGAGCTCGAGTCAATATCGAGCTCGAGACCCAAAGACCGACCCATACCAAG